GAAGCCTACAAAATAGAAAAAATGGCTCATCACCACCGGCCTTTGATGATGACGAATGGTGGATGGCTGATTTATGTGTGTGTTATTCTTTTTATGGGATGATTAGCAGCCATTGGTAAATCGGAAGTCCAAATCCAATTCGGAGGATAAGCGTTGCTTATTATTAAATAATGGAACATAAAAAAGCAGTTGGCTAACAAGCAATCTCAATAGTTGTATGTCAATAATGGACGGTTAAGATGTACGTCCTTCTGCTGTAGTTGACACCGGATACTCGAATACTTGGGTTGAGGACATGGGATAATATGTTTGTTTGCATGCTACACATCATGGTACTCTGTACGCCTCCGTTAGTGCTCGTTTCTCACATTCCTTCCAATTTGTTTGTTTTTATACAATGAGAAATCTAATAGAACAAATGGCCAACAACTCGGCTTGGGTATCAACGCATAGTCATCAAAACCGGACCGAACCATATATTGCATTGGTTTAATTGCTAAGCATTGATTTGGCCGTCTGGTTTATAGTATAAATTATGTTTTGGTAAAAAAGTAATCAAAATTAATTGGTCCAACTGGTTGTTTTTACTAGTTCAATTGTTCAATTAAAATGAGAAACTTTTTTTTCTAGTATATTATATATTTTAAACCATTATTTATATTTTTAATATTTTAAAATCTATTTAATCCGGTTCGACTAGCGATTGGACAAGTTTTGACTAAACCAAATATCTCATTAGTATAGTGACTAGTCCTAACGTTGATCACACTAGGCCCATGCCCGGGTTGAGTAATCAAAAGAAAAACTAAACATAAAAATTAAAGAAGGAAACCAATTGGGCAAACAAACTTGGGCAGAAAGGGTAAGTAGTGGGGAGAGGAGAGAAAGAAATGAAAACAGAATGTACAGACTTATGTCCCATTCATGGAGAAAGATGAATAGAGGCAGATCAGCCTCCTTTCATACAGAGAGGGAGGGATGGAAAAGAAAGCCGTATTTGCCTCCTTAAAGAGAAGAGAAGGGAGATAAAAAAAATCCATGGTACATGCCTGAGCCACCAGTTTAAGCTAAGGAATTATACTGACTTTGAATGGACTAGGCCGAGTTGCCTGACACTAAATTAATTCTATCCAATTTATAAAATTTAAAAATAAAAAATAAAATTAAACTCTCAAAAATTCAATCCCTATGTTGAATTAATAGTCCTCGAAGGCCGAAATTGGCCTCTCCAAAGATGGTTTGGTACCGTCCTTACAATAGGAAAAAACATACAATTAATGATTAAAAAAAGAATTGAATATTTTATTTTTTTTTTCAAATATTCATGAACTTTATTAAAAAAAAAAGGTTGTTTTCATAATGATGAAGAATATGGATTCAATTATTGAAGTGTACTCCTAGAAGGCTGAAAGTGGCCTCTCCAAAGGGTTTGATTTAGTCCTTCAAAAGAAATAAAAAAAACCAGAAAAAAGAAGAAGAAGTGAAAGAATGGTTGTTTTCACAATATTTAAGTCATATGGTTTTGTATATTCTAACTTAAAGCATAGTCATAAATTGTAATACTTTTCTTGAGGGCATGAGAAATGCATCCTCTGTTTTATATCAAAAATAAATTATCATCAACCGAGCATTATCCTAACTATTTAAGTTCAAGTACATGAATATTGTTCCGCTATTATGCTCTATTAAGGATCATGCCATCACTTCAATAGGTTCAAAATTCATTAAAGATGTGGTAAAGTTTTACACTTATAGCCTGCCAACACAATCCTCTTCCTTTATTCAGGCTTGTGACTGACATGAGTGGGTTGGGCCGAACATGACAGAGTTGCTTTATACTAAAAATAAATTATTTTATTTTATATTTTTTTGGAAAAATTAAAATTACCTCTTTTTTTTAAAAATATGAACTTTCTAGACAACCTATCCCTCAAAAAGTTTTATATCATACCCTAAACCCTAATATTCTTTCTCTTTGTATTTAACCCCTGTCAAAAAGTACTATTTTCCTCTCTCTTCCCTTGTATTTTTCAATCATGTGCTATTGACGATAATTTCTCTCTTTCTCTTTCTACCTCTCTCTCTCCTCTTTCTCTCTCTACCCATCCTCTCTCGCTCTCTTTCTCTCTACCTGCCCTCTCTCTCTACTCGGCATCTCTCTCCACCCACCCTCTCTATCTACTCAGCCCCTCTCTCTCTCCACCTACCTACCCTCTTTCTCTCTATTTTTGTTCTGAAAATCTAACCGGTCAAACACGTCTTTGGAACACCGGTCTAGCACAACAGGTGCTGGACCAAAAATGTTTTTGCGGTCAAGCACTTTTTTATGTCGGGCCGCAAAAAAAATTTGGTTAATTCCAATGAGACTAGCTTGAATCCACTGCCTCCATGAGAAAGGGGGTGAAGAGAGAGAAACAAAGGGTGAGGAGAGAGAAAAGGGCTAAGAGAGAAAGCATTGTTGCGTGTTTGTTCCCTTTAAAACACGTGCGTAGGGGCTAAGAGGAGCCACTATTGCACCGCCATCACCACCGTCACTGCCCTGTGAGTTTGAGTTTAGGAAAAAAGGAGTGGGAAAAGGGAAAAGAGTGGGTCTTTGAGAAAATGAGGCAATTGGTGGGGAGTGGAGATAAATCCCGATTAGAATTCCATAATAGAGATAGAGAGAAAAAGAGAGCGACGTGGGTAGAGAGAGAAGGTGAGTAGAGAGATGACAGGTAGAGAGAAAAAAGGTCAGTAGAGAGATGACAGGTAGAGAGAGAAACATTGTGGGTAGAGAGAGAAAAAAGAGAGGAGAGGGCAGGATGAGAGAGGAAAAGTGTTGACGTGACTAAACAAGGGGGAGAGTGAGGAAAACGGTATTTTTGTCATAAGGGAAACCTTTTTTATAATTCTCTAATTGGGGTGCACCTATAAAAAATCTTAAAAATAAATTTTTGATAAAATATAATGACCAAAATATTTTTTGAAAATTTTAAAGGTATTTTGGTCATTTATTTTATTACAAATATTTTTTTATATTTTTCAATGGTGTGTGTTTAATAGAGGAATGGACGTCTAAAATTTGACGTCAAAATAGATTAAAAACAAAATAGTGCAGAGACGTGACATTGTGATTGGGACAATCTTAGCCCTCTATTCAGAATAGATGGTTGGATAAGAGGGAGGATGGAACTTCTATGCTGTAAAGGAAGCATAGAAAGCTTGCCCTTTGTCACAATTTTATTGACTTTTTGAATGCGGAGTTAAATACAAAGAAAAATATTATTGGGGTTTAAGTTATGATACAAGAAGTATTGGGAGTAAAATGTCTAGAAAGTTGATTTTGGGGGGGTGAGGGGTCTATAATTTCCCTATTTTCTTTTATTTTTTATTCATAGATTACAATTACATCTATCATTCTCAATTTAATAAAGCAAAGTAATATAACTTTAGGAAAATATTAATTAAAGGGTTGAAACTTGAAACACTCTACAAAATCACTGAAAGGGTCAAATAAAGAAAATTGTTTCATGCGGGCTGGACTACATTTCTACATATGCAATCCAGAAAGTGTAAAACATCCATCTAAAAAATTGATGCAAGTGGGTGTTCCATTTAAAAATAATAAAAACTAACAGTCCAAATGTTTTCTTACTAGAATTATTATTTTTGGTTTTTAAAATTTATTTATTTATTTATAGTTATCATCTCCATGTTATAGATTGCACGCCCTTAAAAATTAAGTCTTAAAATCCATCTCAAAAATAGATTTATTAAAAGGCCCGCATTTCTACATATGCAGGCTTGGCCGCATCGAAACCGGGTCTATCAAATAATCACAAATTACATTTAAATGTTTTCTTTTAAATTTTTATTTCAATTAAATATGTCCTCTCAAAAATATCTTAAAAATTAAGTCTTAAAAATTAAGACTTAAAATCGATCTCAAAAATAGATTTATTGAAAGGCCCACATTTCTACATATGCAGGCTTGGCCGCATAAAAACCGGGTCCATCAAATAATCACAAATTACATTTAAATGTTTTCTTTAAAATTTTTATTTCAATTAGATATGTCCTCTAGAAAACTTTTAAACTTCATAAATTACCCCTTTTTGTGTTGGGAAGCCCAATCAATTACAATTACTTTGGTAATTTCACAACCTTAATAAAATAACAAAAGTACTCGTGCTTGTTCATGATGGTTTGGGTGAATGCTTGTTAAAAACACCAAACAACTTGTTTGGTGGTTGAAATAAGGAACAATAAAAGGTGTTTGCCTTCTTTATATCAAATAACATATATACCCTTTATTATTGCCCCATTTCAATTAGCGAGCGAGTTCTTCAATACTTTTAACCCTAAACAACCAAGGTTATTTTTATTTTGTTAAGTCCTCTTTCAAGGTTAATTCATCAAAGTGCCTCTAAATTATTGGGCCTTCCCAATATAGAACATGGATAATTTAAAAAAGAGTAATGATTCTGAGACGCTCACACACCCATGTTTACATGACCTCAAAGGATCACCATTAAATTTGATATACATCTCTAAAAAAAGTCAAGTCCTACACTCACGTGATAACTTTTATAGAGATTTGTGCCACATTTAATAGTGATCCTTTAAGATCTTAAACACATGCATACGAAAGGGTCTCATAGGATCATTACTCTTTAAAAAATTTAAAAAAGTTTCTTTACAAACATTTCTCCTTGAAATAACAATTTAAAGTAAAGAAAATCGACAAACATGCATACTTTGTTATCATTTAACCCCTTTATTTAAAGCTTTATGTTGATAATAATTTCCCTATGACTTCTGATTAAAAAAGCGAAAGCCCCTCGCCTCCCAATAACGTGGAAAGCGAGACTTACGACCATTTCAAGAAAGATCAACGAGATAAGCATGCCATGCCAGGCCCTCATTACGCGGTGGAAAGGAAAATCAAACGATCCATCAAAATCTGTATAGTACAACTTCATTTCATACCCTCTTTAAAAAGCCTCTAATGGTCGTAAACCTATCCCATCATTTTTAGGGTTTCTGTCGGTGTCTCTCCCTCTCTAAAATCCCACATCTACTACAGTAAAGCGAAGGGTTTCGAATTTAGGGTTTTTATTACTTTCCACGTGTTTTCTTAGAATTAGCCCCTCTGCTAAGTTTAGCGGTAATTTTAGGGCATCTTCCGCTAAATTTAGCCAAGAATTTTGGCATGAGACAGGCAGAGGTGACGCCCGTCCCTACACAAAATCGTAATAGTTTTGGCGCCTTCTCCAACCCTCTATCTAAATCCTTATCCAGAGCTGAGAAGAATCCTCGTCCGCTTATTTCAAATCTCCATTATTTTATCAAACATTTTTTCATTTTCTCTCTCCTTCCTATTGCTTTGCTTTATCTGCCTAAAACTTGTTAGCGGAGAAGCCGGACCACTGGTTCTAGGGTTTTATCCTTTGGGTCCCTCTGAATCCCATCTTCGGAATCCTTTAGGTTCTTCCAATGTCGTAATTTCATATATTGGGTTTTGATTCTTACCTCGATAAAGATATTGGGTTGTCGTTGAATTTCAAAATTTTGGATATTGGGGTTTGATTCTCCCCTGAAAGGCGGGTTTGGGTTTTGATTGTATTTTAAAGTTTCGAAGATTGGGTTTTGATTTTAGGGTTGTTATTGTCATGGCGGCTTCTCTATTTGAGATTGTGCAGAGTCCGAGTCTTGGAAATGTGGTGGTGGAGCTAGGGTCAGTTTTGGGTCCTCTATGGATTGCTGTTTTGGTTGGGTTATTGGTGGGCTGGGTTTGGAAACCAAAATGGGCGGATTCAGCTGGTTTATTGGTTCAACCAATTTGTGGTTTTGGCTTTAATTCTTTTTCGCGTTTGAATTCTCTGAAGGTTCAGCTACCAGATTGCATTACAAGGAAACATGATGAGAGAGCTGCCCCTGAAGAGATTCTAACCGTGAACTCTGAGAACAAGTGAGCTTTTGGGTTCCTTCGAATCTGTTCTCTATTAGAAAATTTATGTTTTTGTTGGTTTCCCTGTTTGATTTGTGTTAGTTGAAAGTTTCATAAAAAATTGCCCCTCTGTTATAATGCAGACTTCGGTTTCTATTTCTATCTCTAATTGTTGGTTGTGGGATGTTTGGTTTGTTGTTTGTGATTAATGTTAGGGAAAAATGATGGGCTTTTTCAATATGGAAGTTGGGTTCTACGAATTTGATTCAACTTTTTTCCCTAGAGGAAGTCAAGCCCCTTATTTTTTTATTTTTTTTTGAAAATATTAATCATAGTCAACTTTTGTGGCACTGTAACTACTACGATTGATAGTTATAGAAGTAAAAAAGTTTTAAGAAAATTACCTGCTTGAGGTTTTTCCAGCTTTGTTATTAAGGACTGAATGAAACCTTGGGTTGAATGGGTTGAACTGTTTAGGGGTGGATGACAAGCGTAAAGACAATGGGTTATACTTTTTATTTTGGGTTTTGATTGGGCTATTACTTGTTCTCTTTGACAATTGTTTTCACATTTTTGACTGAGCTTTTATTGTTTCTAAATCATTCTCTCTGTACTTGACTTTGTATTGTATTTGGTATTTGGCTTGTATGACTCTCCCTTACAATTTACTAGTAGATTACACCGTGAACCAAATAAAACAACTCTTTTGGTTTTTGAACAACTATCCTCTTTGTAGTGTGTACCTCGTCAAAGTGCAGACGAATAAAACACTTCTATTTCTCCATTTTGAAATTTTGTTATTGCCTTTTCCAGTTCATCTCAATCCAACCGTGATGAACCAGTTGTTACAACGGAGGATTTAGAACATTTATGCCAGCTTGTTGAGGTGAAGGATGGTGGTCCTGCATGGATACATATGATGGATCGCTCCACACCAACAATGAACTATCAAGCATGGCGTAGAGACCCTGAGGTAAGCTTAGAGATTTTCCATACACTATTAATATGGCTATTAGCTAATGTATGTGTCAAGCAAAAACTTCTAAAAAACCAAAAGATAAACTAATAAGAAAGAATGGCACGATAGACTAAATGTATGAGAAAGTTATGGTGTTGAAGAAGAAAGGTTTACAGAAGAATGATACAGAAGTAAGTAACAAATATTGATCCAGATTGAAAATAAACATTTGATGCAAAATCAAACTCACAGAAAAACAAAGGATCTAAAGAAAGCGAAGGAAACAGATGAACAACAGAAAGGGAGAATTAAGAATATAAAGAAGTTTAATGATAACTTCATAGAAATTAAAGAATAGAAAAAAGAAGAGGAGGGCAAGCACCATATATGAGATATATAAATGATATACGTGTTCATTGATTACTTACATAGAAATTCTTGATGGAAGATATGGAGGGAAAGTTGCATTACGAATTCTCATTTCCATTCTCTCTCTCATTGGAAACATTTATTGGTCTGTGTCAAACAAAAGATACATAGGACTTGTGACTTTGAGTAGTATGTACTATATCAATTGATTTGTTGACAAAAAATTGTGTTTATTCATGTGCTAGACTGCCCCCCCACAGTATCGTAGTAGAACAGTCTTTGAGGATGCAACACCTGAATTAGTTAGGGACTTCTTCTGGGATGATGAGTTTAGAGCCAATTGGGATGACATGCTTATATATTCTGCAACGCTTGAGGAATGCCCTGTTACTGGAACTATGATGGTACATTGGATTAGAAAGGTAAGATTATAGTGCTTGGGATTGTCTTGTCTCTCTTTTTTAATTTCCTAGATAATTTCTTCTTACATATTTTTCATGAATTGTGGCAGTTCCCCTTTTTCTGTAGTGATCGAGAATACATGATTGGCCGTCGCATTTGGGAGTCAGGACGGTCATATTATTGTGTTACAAAGGTGAGAGAAAATATATCAAAGTTTTTATTTGATACTGTCTAACATTGTCCTTGTGGTTTATTTTGTTCAAAAATGTAATTTCATTCATTATGACTCTTTTTCAGGATAGCCTAAGACCTCTATGCTTACTTTTTTGTTCTTATCCATTTATTCAAAATTTTTTTATCTGCAATTAGACAAAGTGCCCTTGTGGAAATTTTCCCTTGTGGAAATTTTCAAGTGTGTTGGAATCGCATATTGCATCTTTTGCCTACCAAAACTTAAAGAGGAGCTCTGATAGATTAAGAATGTATCTGACCATGAGGTTGGCCCTGGTTTGTTGTGGTTGCGGAAAGTGTCATCTCTTGAAAAATGATTTTAGTACTCAACTAAATTCTTTGTTATGTTTCTTTTTTTTGGTTTATGTATATTAATGAGAATCATTTGCTTACATTTGATGAGCCATTTCATTAACATTTTTTAGGCCGGGTTTTTACCCCAACTTGATGATGAGTTTAACAGGTTTCAAGAGATCCTACATTAGCTCCTAAAATGGGACATGTGCTTAGACAGTTGAAAGAGATTTTCATTTACTTGCACTGATAAGGAAATCGTTCTTTTGGGAGTTTGATTTGTACAAGTTGATTCCATATTCCTTTTTATTCATACAATGATTAGTACCTTGTTGAGTTTGGTGTGGTGGTTCTAATATCTTATATATTCTTTTATTTGGATCCGTGCGATCATACTCTTATTAGAAATGTTTCGACATACGTCCTGATATCTATTCTGATATGTCATTCCTGGGGATCCTTTCCAATGAATAGTCCTACGTCATATAGTAAATTTTTCCGTTGTCTCGATACCTTGAGTTTGACCATTTGACATTTTTTTATGATGTATTTCATTCTTTTGGTAGAAGAGCCCAACATCTTATATTTTCGAGTTGTCTTGAAATTATTATACTATTAAGAGCGAAACAAAATCATAGAGTACAAGGAAGGATATAAAGAAATGAGACCTTTGGTCTCAATCAGTGGTCTGAAAGCCCTTAAAAAGCCCCCAAATGAGCCCAAAAATTAAAGGCTAATGTAAACTTTTTTTGTTAAAAATAATTTAAAATCAGTGAAAACTAAAATAAGTAACAGAAATAATTAGAATTTCACATAACAAATGATAAAGTCCATACAGCTTAAAAAGAAAGATGAAATAGGATATGAAAGTTAAATTACTGAAAATTTTGATTTAGACCATAGCTATCAAGACTGGACTAGACCTCCCGGTTCGACTGGTCGGACTGCCAACCAATGCTTTGGATGGTCCGATCCAAAGCAAAAACAAGGTTCGATAACGATCAAAATCAATGTTTGATTGATTATGGCCAAGCCGACCGGATGGTTTTGAACGGTTAAATAAGATAAACAAAGTTGGGCATTTTTTTAGTAATATATTTTATGTTTCTAAACTATTATTCATATTTTTCTTTTAGTTTTTGAAATTTGGTCCGACCGGTTCAAGCAGCGGTTGAACTTGTTTTAACTTAGACTGAACCCTTGACTGGTTCAGTGGCTTGTCCAATCCTTCCAGGTAACACTTATTTATACTTGAAGCATGTAATGAGAAAAGTTCTCAAATCATTATAAAAAAGACACATATAACATATTTCTAAATCATACTATAAAATTTGTATTTTTTAAGAGTTGTTAACAAGGGCGAGTTGGGTGTTTGAAAGCTCCTTGGCCATCAGAGGGCAAGTTGCTTGGCCAAGTCTGGGTGGACCTGGCTGAGTTTTTGAACATTGATTTCTGACTCTTATATTAAATAGAACATCCTATCCGAAATGACCCACCAAGTTCCTTGTCAATTCTTGTGAGCAATTGCCATGATCCCTTAGTAGCGACCATATCTAACTCCACCACCTGTACCCATGCCCAGTCAATGTAACTTGGCTCCGCATTCAAGTAATTTCTTCGTTGTTCTTTCTATAATTGTTTCATGTACAAGCTTGTCCCCTATAAAAAAAGAAAAATTCGGGCTTTGTATGACTGTATCATAAGAAGGGAGAGTCAGAGTCTTTCACGGAAAGTGGTTTGGATGGATACTCTCTTCAGTTAATGAAGTGCCTCTTGGGCTTATGCACCCAGTATATTAAGCATCAATTTCTCATGAAATTGGACATCCGCTTCAAAATTTAGAAACTGGATGTTGAAATGTTCTGTTCCTTGAGGTTAAGACGTTTCTAAAATCAGGGGATATTATATGTTTACTGCATAAGATGTCTGGCATTGTTGATTAATTGTGCATGTCATATTGAGTTATTGCGAAATCGAGCAATCTATAAAGTGAGCTCCAATTTTGGGTTCTTGTGATTTTATGTCAATTGTTATCAAATATATAACATGCATGCACGTCCATGCATGCATGTGTTTGTGATTACTTGGGCATGTGGAACTGACCCATTATACTTCATACTAAGTCTCAGTCATTCAGTTTGCAAAGAGAAAGTACTAGGAGACACCAACTAATTATTTTGTTTAGTTTCTTAGAATTTAGAGGTGCACCCTACTATCTGCACTGTTGAAAAGTTTACATGTGAATTTTCTATCAATCTTCGTGATGGTGCTTAAAACCTTCTCTCTCTCTCTCTCCAGGGAGTACCATATGCTTCCTTACCCAGGCGCAACAAGCCTAGACGAGTCGACCTTTACTATTCAAGTTGGTGTATCCGAGCAGGTAAAATCGAATTTTGTTCCTTCTCTTCACTGTGCTGAATTGAACTTAAGTTACCGCATTCATGTTAGCCCATATTGTTCCCATGTCTTTGCATATATGGTTGACCTCTTTTATCAATCTTGAAAACAGTGGAATCGAAACGAGATGGCCAACTTACTGCATGTGAGGTGCTGCTCTTCCATCACGAGGACATGGGAATCCCATGGGAAATCGCAAAATTGGGGGTTCGACAGGGTATGTGGGGGGCTGTCAAAAAGATTGAACCAGGCCTGCGTGCCTATCAAGCAGCCAGAAAGTCAGGTGCCCAGCTCTCTCACTGTGCATTCATGGCTCAAATCATCAACAAAATAGATGCCACGTACTTGGCATCCTTGGAATCCGAGTCCTTAGACACGGATATACAAAGCTCAGAAGAGAAGCCATGGGGCAGGAATATACCGAAGCTCTTGATTGTTGGAGGGGCTGTGGCTCTCGCTTGTAGCCTCGATAGAGGACTCTTGACGAAGGCCGTGATATTTGGCGTTGCGAGAAGGTTTGGAAAATTTGGAAGAAGGTTGTGATAGAGTGAGATTAGAACCAGAATCAGTGTAGAAACCAGAATCAGTGTCAGAATGTGCCACCTCCCTGAAGCATGGGTTTGCGAGAGAGATACTCGGTAAAGGCGCACCCGAATTTATTGCGCTCGTCTTTAAATGAGTTTTTCCATCCCCTTTGTTCTTTTCCTCCCGTAAGGGATGAGTGGATATTTTTTTGGTGTAGAAGTACCCATTGTTTAAAGGTAAAAGGTGATGTAATACTTGTAATCCTTGGAGCTCGTTGTGGACAATGCCAATGGGCACATATTTAGTCGCATGGAGTTTTGCGCTTCCTGCTATTCTTGCTTTTGTTTCTCTTCGTTGATGGTTGGATTCCTTAGTTTGCCCCAGTGGTTTAAAATATGGATCGGTGCTTCGGATGGGGCACCCTAGAAGCCCATCTGGATTGATGAATCGGTGATTCAAATTAGGAATCAATCAAATCGGTCGGATTCAGCTTTAAATAAAATTTAAAAAAATTATTAAAATTCATTGTAAACGTTGATTTTCAAAAATTCAATAAGAAATAAACTATTAATATCATTAAATTTACATTATAAAGAGAAGCATATAATTATCATGGATGAAGTATATCATTATACATAGACTACAATAAAGCATACAATTTGTAAAATACTACATTGTTCATCAGTTTAGACACATTGGTGTCATTGATTGAATTCACGCGACAATTCATTGACTTAAACTAAGAACGAATTATCCAAATTAGTGGGCACTTGACTATACCCAAATCCTTGAACGTTTGTGTTTTGATGTGCTCCAAATTCAAAATTCTTGAAGCTTTTTTATCCTTTATGTTCACCTACATTGTCGTGTTTTTCTTTACCCTCTTCTATTGGGATTTGGTATGTGAATAATTTGATTGGGATAAGTCTTAGAATCATCATCTCTCTCATTTTCCCTTATACCCCCTTCTCATTCTCCCTTATTAGGTGCAATACTTTCGACATCTCCAACGAATTGTGGATATGTTGTTAGACTGCTTCTTTTTTCATGTTGCCCATCACCTTCTTCACGATATTTCTCATCGATAGCTTAACACTCTCTTGTGTAACACTGACTCCTCTTCCTTTACTACCTATTGTTCTGCTATGTTTGTGACAAATATTGTGTCCAAGTTTATCGGCATGTAGTATTCAAGCTTCCTTCTTATTGGTCGCTCTCGGAGGTTGTAATGAAGACTAGCTTATAAAACCTTTTCGAAACGAGCCGATTCCTCCGAGTAGTGTGCAACCATTGGAACATACTCCAGTTTCGCTCACACCTAGTAGCAGAACATGTCTAAGAGAGCACCTTAATTGCTATCCTCTTTAGGTGAGGTGCATCACTACCATATATCTCAACTAGATTAAAATGCAAAAAAGCATCGTAAGGGCAAAAATAATTCATAAGAATAAAGATATGAAAGAACAAAATATTAGTTAGTGGTTAACCTGGATCCATCTTAGTTGGAGAATTCCTAGGAAGTCCAACATACCTATACATAGAAAGCTAAAACAAAATATTTCATTTTAGTGAATTAGTTATTCCTCACAAATATAACAACTCATTGAAGTTCTTACCCAAATATTAAATATTACCTCTTATATTGCCGTTACCTGGTTTCGATGGCTTCTCTTTAGCCTGACAATAATGTATCTGACCCCTTCCATAATCTTGTGCGGATGTTCAGATGTCAAATAGAAAAATTTTGGGTTGAAGTAGTAACCTAGAAAATACATCGATAGAGAAAGGTTATTTAAATTTTCATTAAAAAATATATTTTAGAATTAAATATTCTAGGGATATAAATATTTATGTACCCGCATAATGAATGGGACAGACAAATTTGGTGTTCCACCTTTCTATAATATTGATCACTTTACTAGTAAAACTACACTTCTCACCGATAGCTGATTTGACCCTCTCGATACCTTCGTAAAAGATGCATGTGATAGCTTTCTTGTCAGCATCCACCATTCTTAACACCGTGACCAAACGGGCAGTGGCCTCTACGAGATTCGAACACCGACACTAGAACCTCCAATCTGTGACTATACCCTCCACTTTTAGCCCATTACTAGATTTCGAGAGGCAGTCGTTTGGCCACTCGTCGCTGGTAAACAATCTCTTCAATGCAGTTTGGGATTCCCGAATGGAGTCAACAACCAAGTAATCTATCGCAAAGCGGTGCTTGATTAACTCTTGTTTCTTTTTTTTTGACCAATGTTCAAAACTTTATTGATAGGCTAAAAGGAAATTACATAAGAAGAAATAGTAAGAAAATTAAGCCCAACACCCCCCTTAGCCAAAACATCAGCGACCCCATTAGGCTCTCGAAAACATAGGAGAAAGTAATAGTTAAAGATGTTGACACATCCATAATCAGTAGCCACAAAGGTCGAAGTTCCCAAGGAACAGACTGCTCATTTCTACACCATCTTATAATGTTTAATGAATCACCTTCGATAAGACAAAGTGGTGCCCAGATTATGGTGTATGAAAATAAGCAACCCTCTAAGTAAAGCACTCATCTCTGTAAAATTCGAAGTTGTCATACCAATTGGTCCTGCATAGGATAGAACAATGTTCTCAAAAAATCACGTATAACACCCCCAATGCTAGCCATACCTGGGTTACCCAAAGAACTACCATCAAAATTAATCTTAAGGCAACCCATTGGGGGGCAACCCACAATGCCTTAGGTCGATACTTTCTCACCCCAAGAGAAAAAGTTCGGAAAGATTGGCCGTGACATCCACTTTTGTAATACCCTAGCCCTCCTTGGTCATAGAAAGGCAAGACCAGATCGACTGCTTAATTAACTGAATCACTTTTTGGGGGGCAAAGCTAGACCTTCAAAGGTTCTTCTATTTCTTTCTTTCCATACTTCCCACATCAGCATACCTATGACAATCTTCCAAATAACTCTCCAAGTTTTAGGTAAAAAGGGATGAGAGAACTGAGAGAGTATCCTTGAGACCCTCTGCGGCAGCACCAAAGACATCCCAACCAACCTAAACAGCCATTGCCAAATCCCAGAAGAGAAAGGACAATGCATCATCAAGTGTGCAACATATTCACCATCTTGTTTACAAAGTAAACAAATATTAGGCAGATTTTTACCCCTCTTCATAAGGTTGTCTATAGTTAAGATCTTATGTTGTGCCACCTACCAAATAAAGCTTTGAACTTTATGGGGAACATGTCATTTTCAGATCTGAACAATCTCAGGGAAGGACCATCTATAACGATCATGGAAGAATAAATTGTAGCAAAACTTAATTGAGAAATTGCCATCACTCTCAATCTCCTACACCAACTCATCTACCGCAACTTGTGAGATATATACATTTTCCAACAATTCCATCAAAGCACACCATTGAGAGAAAATAACATCATTTAGCCGTCTGTATCCAAGATTGATATTCCAAAAGAACCCATGCCCTCTTTTTTCTTAGATTATTCTCTAAACAAAAATAAGATTTTAGAGTTGTTATATATAAATCTTGACATGAACCTCGTTGCCTCTAGAGTCTCCTTCACAATTTTGATATCATCGATCACCTCTAACATAAAATTGATGCTGTGTACAACACACATGGTCCATACTAGATACTTCATCTTATCAATCAACTTGCTACTCGCAGAAACACAAATAGTCATATTGACCATAATAAATTGGACCACATGCGTAAACTCCCACCTCCTCCACTATCTGGTTATATAGTCGTACCAAGAAGTATGTATCCTTCTTTTTCCTAGAGACGCCTTTGTTAGACAAGAAGACTGTATCTTTAGGGCAATAGGCCAAGTTAAGATATTCCTTCTTGCCAACTTTATTCAACCAACCATCACTCATGAGAATAATGCATGTTCTTGGCCAACCCTATTTATATTCTTCAATCTACTTCCTAATTTCCTCTACCTCTTCATTCGAGATCGATCCACTGAGCTTATATGCAGTCGAGGGCTTTACCTTGGGCCCGGCTCTCTAGATTGCATTGATCATAGGCAGAAAATATAGGATATTGACTGCATCAAAGGGGATCTTTTTATCATAAAACCATTTACCAACGTATCTACCCAATATGTTCCTTGTATCTTTCACCATGCCTTTGAGGGGCATCTGTTGTGACTTGGGTTTTGAGATAAATGGGTTTATGCACCATGACTGCAATATTGGTGCTCCTAGATAAGCCAGAAAAAATTTCCTCAATGTCCTGTACCTCTGGATACATATTGCCACCAACTCCCTCCATACATATTCTAGTTGAGCCCGCCATACATGCTCGAGCTGGCCCCGTCATGCATGCTCGAGCTGGACCCACCATGCATGTTTAAGTTGGGCCCGCATGCATGCTTAGCCCACCATGCATGCTTGGGCTGGGCCCACCATGCATGCCCATGTCATAACCACCATGCATTCTGAACCCGCTTTCCCTTTGGTATGTTTCGTGCAAGCTCATTCTTGTGGTCATCTCCAAGTTTTGATTATATTGCTCTTCTGGATCCATATCACTTGATAACATATATAAGCCAGCTATCTCCTTATCCATTATCTGCTTTACGACTTTTTTACCTTTGGTAGCCTTGAGAATGACCGCCATCTGCTTACTTACATTGCTAGGGACACTATTGTACACAAAGGCATAGTTTCAAGTGTTGATGGAACCTATGTACCCCACTACTTATCACTTTTTGGCAGTAATGACAAATAATTTTACCTTTTTTGTTGTAATCAAGTCTGACCCCATGTTGCCATGTAGGGTCTTCCCTGGATCTTACCATGTTTGACTGTTTTAAGATGTAAATGGTTAAAAATGAACCTGACAATTCAATTTGAAAAATAATCACCATGTGTAGTGATAATGTGTAGGGGTAGTTCATGAAGTTATCTTTGTTGTTAATGAAAAATACTTCTACTAGCAAATATATTTTAGTTCCTACTAGCAAAAATATTTTATTTATGCAACATTATAGATAAAAAAAGTTTGTATCAGCCAAACCTAGAATCAAGAAAGAAATAAATAAATTTACAATGATATAGTATCAATAAAAAATATATTTACAATGCCACTACATATAGACTCGTAACAAATCTTCATTTTGACGAGCATGAATTAGTTTCTACTGGCAATTTTTTTTTATTTATGCAACATTATAAATAAAAAAAGTCTGTATAAGTCATACTTAGAATCAAGAAAAAAAAATATTTACAATGATATAATATCAATAATTTTTTTTTACAATGATATAATCATTCACAATGCCACTATATGTAGACTCGCCACAAATC